TAGTCAGTATTTATCCTTTTACACACGAAAAAAGAAAGTGGGGCACAGGGACGCAAAACATGTGCACAATTTGCAGCTTTGATGGTGGAGTCAAGCAAATTGATGATATTAATAATAAACAAGAGGATTCCGCTTTGTCAGAAACAAATCCACAGAATAATGCTGCTAAGCTTAAAGAAGATGACCTAATAAATATTTAACACACAAGGATATTGGATTTATGAAGTTAGATACAACAGGCTCAGCAGTTGTAACACATGCACATCGCACAGAGATTGTTAAAGTTGGAGCACATGAATTGCAACATAAAGAAGATCCGTTTGATGCCAAAGATGGGCGTTCTATGACTGCATTTTGGTTCAAAGAATGCCTTCTGAATGGACAAGAGGTCAATCGTTCCTGGTTGGTGTATTCACCTCAACAAAAAGCAGCATATTGCTTTTGTTGTCTTCTTTTTCCTTTTACATGTATGACATCCGATAGTCGGTCTACTTTCAAAACACAGGGTGGATTCTCTAAGTTTGTTTGTTTTTGAATTTCGCGCAAAGCTACACGAGGGCTATCTCGCTAGCCATCCCAGTGTAAGAATAGAGGGAAGGCAGCTAGTCATCACCACCCACCGCCAACTCTTGGGCTACTCTTTTACCAACGAATAGTGGGATTGACCGTAATATTATAACGCCCCCACGGCTGAAAGGGCGAGCATGTTTGGTGTGACAGGGATTCGAACCCGCGACCCTTAGATTGCGATTCGAGTGCCTTAACCACCTGACCATGCCGGGCCCGATTCTCTAAGTGCAAAAAAATTTAAAAGTTAAATCCCTGTGAAAATAGTGACAGTAATCGTGAGTTATTTGCTGCTTGGAAAGAAACTGAGTGGCGAATTCGTCTTCAAACTGGCATTGATGAAGAGCTGCAAAGGCAAATTCAGCAAGAAAAAATAAATGGAGAGATATACTGTTTAGTTACTGGATTGTGCACAGTATTTAGCTTCTCAAAATCTTGCATTTCGTGATCATACTGAGAACATAACCTCAAACGAAAACCCTGGA